TAAAATTATTGCTAACGACGGAGTATTGCTCCTTTAGAAATTCCGGTGATGCAGTTAAGGGAATAGGTTGTCGACAGGCCGCGGCTGGAAGAGCGCCGGCTGTCTGCGCTCGGAGAATGGACGCGATGGCGAAGTTAGTTGATCCTCATTTACGAAGCAAACCCTATGAAACCTAATTATTGGAAGCGCAGTACTCTCTGGTCCCGAGACTGACTGATCAAAGGGCTCCGTGGCAGCGTCCCCTTAACGAAATTAAGTCGATAACGTTAAAATTCAAGATATACAGCCGCGCGACTGCATGTTAAAACACGAAGCGATTTTTCGCTGGACAACTTTGTCAATCGCGTGTAAGTGCGCACCGCTACGTCGCGCTAATCGCGTTGCGGGGGAGAAATTGCATAATCTGTTCGATGAATCTCGGATTTTCGAATGGTTAATGGATTCGCCAATTCTTCCAGACTCTTCGACGCGACGATCTTTCAGAATTCATTAATCCCCGAATCTTTACTTTCCCTTTAAGTTTTCAACAGCTCGACTTTCGAGCTCTCGAGCATTGACTTCGCAACCCGAAATGTTCGGGTAGTTACATCGCGGAATCGCTCCCGTGTTTCCCTTCCACCGTGGCTCCGGCGATGCTTTTCTTATCGTCCGAACGAAAATAACGAATAATCGCGAACTACTTAAACTGAAGCAAAAATTAACGACGCGAATGTACTCTAGAGCGAACAAATACAGCTGCGCGCCAGAGGTTGGAGGAGTAGATTGGATAAGTAGGAGGAGAGAGGGAGGCTCAGCGGAGGACGGATGGTGGCTCTTCGCAGAATGGCTCGGTCGCAAGAAAAGATAAACGAAAGTCAGGAGCTGACTACACAGGACGATATCGTACTCTCCATTCCGCCTCGTCGGGACGACGAGGAGAAACGCGGACGGAAACGACGAAAGAACAGAATCCCGATTCGTGGGAACGGCAAGGTGCGGGGGAGGAGGATGGCAAGGGAGGGCAGAAGAGTGGGAAACCGGAGGATTCGCGTCGCGAAAGGAAACTTTAAACTTCGCTATCTCTCCACCGCGAGGCAGGAACACGCTACGGGACCATACGTGTGAGCTTTCGCGATATCGATCAGCCTACAGCAAATCTCCGGCATAGGGTGTCTCCGATGGTGGCTTTGATCGATCCTTAATGGAACTCGTTCGATGAAAGCGATATTTAAAGAAAAAAATAAAGGAAAAAATGCATCGCGATCCTGTTTTTGAACAATATCACGAGAAACATAGTCTACGAATAATCCGACCATAAATTTTTAAGAGAAGTGATTCACCATACAACGCGGATCGATCCTATATGTATACTTCGTCTTCGGGATCATTTTTATCTTATGAACGATATTTTTAAGAATGATAGAAAGGAAAAAGATAACGTACATTGCTATAGACAGTTCGGCTATAAATTTTTTAAGAAGATTATTCACACACGTGTAACACATATACGAATCGATCATTTCCTCTTTTTCGAGTAATTTTTCATTCAAGCGGTATAAAAAGAATTATGAGTGAAAATCTCGATAAGATCGTAGCATACGGAGTTGAGTTCTCGCGCGCGTCAATGCGACCTTCTTGAATCGCTGAATGCTCTTCATCTGATTTCAAGTGAAATTTTCCATAAAGGGACTAAATTACACGCGAAAAATCACGACGTTAGCGCATTAATGCGATTAAGATTGCATTTCATACGGCTGTTTGACGCGGGATTTTGAGATACAGCAGGGAGCAAAGACGTACAGACGCTCCCTCAAAAATTCTTCCGACTTAACGAGGTATAACGTTTAACGAGTCCTTTCCGAGCTTCGCCTCTTACCGCAAGTAAATCGAAGATAAACCCTGGGGTTTAACCGGAGCTTAACCTATGCTAAGCGCGCTAAACCTCCCAACCTAGACTCGACCACATGGATGGCTGGTTACATAGATTACAATGTAGTTTAATTGAGTTAGCACCCTAATGGTTGCAAACATCCACGTCTGTCCACTGCCTCCTTTTTTATCTATTCATTTCTTTGAATTTTTTCATCTTATTTAAAACGACGTCTCGCGCTGCCAAGACTAAGTTTGCACGAAGTGCAATACCGCGATACAAAGAAATCGAGAATAGAAACGCAGAAATTTCTATGTTTTCGACAGAGCGAAGATTAGCCTTGAAATTAGCGTAAGATCAACTTTACATTCACATTAGTATATTTGTCACCATGAGTATATTTGTCGGCAGTTTATGAGGATTTAAAAAAGGACTGCGAGAGCTGGCAACTACGATGCTAAATCGCCGAGATATCGGAAAATAGGGAGCCTGTTTTTCCGAAGTAAACGTCTTAACGGCGCGTTTAAATCACTCTTAAAACTCCATATTTCATCAGAATAGAGATTATTGTTGATTGAATCATTCGAGCCGTCCGAAATCCTTAAATTTAAGACGACTCGAAAGTGAGCTCATATATATTGCGGATTGTGAATGTCTGTACGTCTCCCCGGTCTCGTTCGTACGTCTCAATCGCGAACCACCTGACTTCTTGCCAATATACATCGATTAATTGCGCATAATTAATTTAAGAATCAGCCCGCTATCGTCGTGAAATCAGCCGATCGAAAAAAGAAGAGAAAAATCAAGAATACGACGAACTAACAGCGGTGGAATTTTCGACGACGGGACGACGACGATGCCGCAACGCGCGCCGTGTCGAGCTGCCGAGATTATAAAACAATTGAATAAATCTACCCCCTCGGGTGGCGTCCAGGGTAGAGAAACGTCCCGGGAGGGGTAGACAGAAGTGGAAGAAGAAATCTCCGAGCCCCCCGAACCTCCCCCACGGCCCCAACCCCCCGCCAACTTCTCCGAGATTCAAATGGCCTCGTTTCAAATCGATTTCGAATTATCTTCGGCGAGCGGATTCTGGCGGAACGGGAGAAAAGGGGGGTCCTTCGCTGGTGTAATGGAGGAAACGGTAGTAAGGTAAAGAGGTATGAGGACGAAATGGTTGGGGAACGGGTGTGAGCGGCCGAGGGGGAGAGAGAGGAGAGAGAGGAGAGAGAGAGAGAGAGGAAGAATACGGTAGAGTGAAAAACTTAAGGGACTTTTACTGGCCGAGAAAATGTTTGCCAGGCGAGACAAAGACGTCCGAACTGTCGTTTCTTCTCTGATTAAATAGGCAAGACCGCTTTTAGGGGCGATGTCCTATGGACATACGCCACAACTCTCAGATATTCTTCTTATAATCCCGCGCACTTGCGTATCCTTCCCCCTTTTCCGTATCAAACTTTTACAACGTACTCCGTAAGAGGAAAATATCGGAGAACGGCGAAGTAAGGCGTCACTTATAAACGTTATATCGGAAAAAAGTTCTAAGGAAAGGCGCACGCGAGAGAGAGAAAGAAAGAAAGAGAATAATAAAATCGAGATTAATACATGACGCGATGACAGATATCCCGGAATGATGTTTCGTCGATCCCACACGAAAGAGTTAGCTGTTACTCTTCGATTGCAAAGTAATTTATAAGGCACAAAAAAAGTCGCGACAGACAACTCTTTCTTTTCTCTTTTATTCATACGGAATTCTGCGAATATTGATCGTACTGAGAAATCGTAACGGAAGACTGTCAAAGAAACGAACACATTCCTAGAATTTCAAGAATAATTTACGATAAGTATAAAGTACCGATTGGATAATTTTTACGAATAATCTAGCGTGTTAAGGTAATATTTTTAATCGTACCAAGATTGGTTTTTCGCACTTGAACGAATAATTCCTTTCGCACTACAGAGAGAGAATTTCTTGCAATAATAATTTGTAATAATTTCGAACAAATCAATGAGATAAAATCACGTTATATACGAATTAAACGTCTCGCCGGCGAGTAGTCTGCATATTAGCTGGTGGAACTTTCGAAGGCCGCCTCTCGCCTGATTAAGCGGTTCGGCCTGCATTTGGCAACGGCAGCGACGCAGTATGCACCGACTCTAGCTACTTGTTGGCTCTGACGTGCGGCTGTTCCACTCCCGAGTTCGTTCCCGCTTCGCAAGTTTCAGTAGAGTGCGATATTAGCACTACATTTGTCCCGCTCCTCATTTTGTTGCGCGACGCGAAAACAGGCGAAGGAATGGGCTTGGGGGTAGAGCAGGGAGAAAAGGAGGACAGAGAGTGAGACATAATGGAGCTTACTCTTTCGGGGCTAATTAAAGCGGTGAATTTGTTACAGCAACGTGTAATCGCGCGCGAATCCTTTCGCGACCAATAAAACTACTTATTTGACACGCCTGCGTGCCTCGCGTCTTCTGGAGCGAATAACGCGAGATACGTTAACACATTATACACCCCCGATATGTACGAATGTCGCGAAAGTACCAGATTTTGCAATTTAAAGACATTTTGCATTTTGAGACACGTTAATGCAAAAGTTGTTGATATACAGTTCGTTTCGCAAGAGCTTTTGATAAACCGTTAACTCGAGTTCGAGTTGTAACAATATTATATCGCACGCTTAACGGCGTGCGCATTACAGGTATACCGCTTTCCTTTCCCTCTTTCTCCCCCTTACAGCCATAGTAATCTTGTAAGATACTCCTTTGTCTTCCGTAGATATTCGCGGCCGTAAAAGCGCAGCGGTCCACGGTCGCGAAAAAAGGAACGACACGATAACGAACGAACGGGGTCGTAACAGACAAGAAAGACATCGTCGCGAGACGCGCGCGGCCGACCGCTTATCTCTAATTTATCGCGAAATTAGAAAGTAACGAGAAATGAAATCGCGCGCTCGATCTCGTAGCGAACGAGTCTCTATGCGCGGATAGAGGAGAGAAGAGGAGAGGAGAGAATCGCCGACAGCTATTTGACAAATGCGTACGCATCGCGCCGCCAACAATGTCTCACCGGAATCTCGCCCACCACCCCCCCCCCATTCTACGTTTGTCGGCGCGATATCATACGAAGCCTGAAATCCGAAATTTCTCTTTGCAGAACCAAATACTAGCGCACAACACGTCGGCGAGGATCATTTGGTCGAATCAGAGCCTCGTCCTGCAGAGCGTGACAAGAAGCAGCGCCGGTCGCTACGTCTGTGCCGCGACGAACGCGCTCAACGAGACGCGCAGTGAGCCGCTGCACTTTCGAGTCAAATGTAAGTGCAATTTAATTGTACCACGCGATACACACAGAGAAAAAATATTGCAGTAAGAATTACGTCCAAACTATATTTCTCTTTACAATTTTCTTTGTAAAGCTAGACTATACTGAAATTGTAGTATAAATTGTTAAGGAAATAGTAAATTTGACAATCTGCCTGAGAGAAACATTCAAATAATTACAATAATTTTGTAGTGAAAAGTCAAATGTGTATAATATTTTTAAACTAATGTATAGTAGATTCCGGCCATTATTTTTTATATGGTACAAAATTATCAAAATTTCGTTGTAATTTTTATTGCAATATTTTCTGCGTGCAAAGCAGTGTAGTAAAGCGTCACACACACTTGCAAATGTTAAAAAATATTCTGGGAGAGGCATCAAGTGAGAAAGCAGCAAAGAAAAGAAAATCGGGATTAATGCGCGGAGGACCAAGTATCTCGAGATAATATTTCGTCCATTGCGAATGAAAGTTGTTATTGTCTTATCGATCGCGAACTAACTAATAATTACTAAATTCATGGAGACCTTATATAGAGATCTGAGATATTTGTAGAAGTGAATCATAAATTTTTATAGATCATACTAAAAACATACAAGACTATATAAAAGTCGCGATTCCTCCTTTCTTTATGCGCACGGAGTTCTAACACAATCGAAAATACAAGAGAAGTTTTCGAGACCCGCGGATCTCATTATTCGTACTCGAGTAAACGAATTCGCCTCGGTAACATTCGCCGGTTTTATTCGGTACATAAAACGATGTAATTCAAACCGCTCTTCGCGTATAAATAATTTATCAGGTCGCGCAGCGCGTGCGCGCTGCACTTTAAAGTCAAATATAAACTTAATTTGATTATGTCACATGAGAAAATGGCGAAATAAGATGTTATTTGTAAACGTTATATCGGAAGGAAATACCACGGAGAAGAAAATGCCAAGCAATATGAAATCGGAATTAATGTATGAGGACAAACGTCTTGGAATGATATTTCGGTTATTGCAAACGAAAGAGCTGGCAGTTACTCCTCGCGTTCGCGAACTAATGTATAATTGATAGATTCAAAGAGAGATATTTCATAGAGACTCATTTCAGAGAGATATTTGTGAAAGAGCAATTAAATAAATTTATAAGTCATTAAAGCTTAAAACACATACGGTTACCCTCCGGAAGAGACATAAACATAAACATCGCGACTGCTCCCTTTTTCATTAGCGCGGAATTTCGACGCAATCTAGAAATACGAGTTGTGTTTTTGCAATCCGCCGATCTTGTTATTCGTGCTCGAGCAAACGAATCCCGTAGTACCGATCGCCGCGGAAACATCCATCAGTCACGAGATTGATGCAAAGTTCGGGATACAAAGCGACGTCACTCAGGCCGGTTCTTCGCGTGTAAATAATTCATCGCGACGCGCCGCTTATTTTGACGGAGAACACCAATTTCCATTTTCTCGACCGACAGACACACGTGGAGTACATCACTCGTGCCCCATCTTATTCGTATTGGCATACGCGCACGTATTTTCGCGTGTACATTAACTGGCACGTCGCGTGTCCCTAGGATCGCGTTCAACGTGAATATTTCAAGAGCGCTTAGCCCCGGTTACATTTTTGATACCCAATTCCCAGGTTATGGCCGACTGTCGTCGCGAAAGACACTCCGGTGGCTTGCACAAGCCCGCGAAAGAAGTGATTCGTAGGATACTTGGCGACAGAACAGGGGCAGAACATGCGCGCTGTTCGAGCTCCTTGAAAACTCTCGAGTACGCGAATTACCAAAAACGGCTGCCGTCCTCGCGAACAAGAGATCTCGATGAGAAAAAAAGGCAGTGTTAGTGCCATGCACGCCTCCCATTCTCGTCGATTTATGAAGATACTCGCGAAAAATCAACATTCTGAGAATTTTAGAAAAATTTTCGAAGACGCGCTCTGTCTGCATAACTTGAGAATGAAACAAATTTCATTTCTCGAGAAACGTTTCAGTATGTACTAAATTTGAAGATTTCGGTAGAAGAGAAGTTTTTCAAACGCGCGAAAATTCTAGATGTTTTGTCCTTTGTTTTTTTTAGCATGGGTCACATAATTAAAAAAATATCTAGTAAAATCATTGGACTTCGAATATTGCAAAAACATAAAAATTCATAAATGTCAGAAAATAAATCCTTTCCTGACAACAAGTAAAATATCATAATATTATTTTCTCATAGCAAGTAAAATGTCATAATATCAAAAAATGTGATTGTAAAACATATGTAAAACATATAGTAAAACATATAGTATATATATGTAAAACATATATATATATAAATATATGTAAAACATATAGTAAAACATATGTAAAACATATAGAATATATATATAGAATATGTATATAGAATATTTTAAAACTACTGTATAGTACTTTAACAGCACATTCTGAAACTTAATTAGGAGCGAAAATCCTAATATGAAAATGTCACGACACGGTCTAAATTACAAGTCAAATTCGGTCAGTGATGTCGTATAGATTTTTCATGCTTAAAAAAACTGTAAGAACTGCAAGAACAAGTATCGATTTGTCATTAATTTTTTCATTAATGTCACTGTCATCAGTTACTGATTTTGCAACTAAGCTGATATTAATATTCTTGTTGAGATTTACGATTTTAATTAAGCTTCGGAGAATACCATTCAAAGTACTTTTGACACGATAATCAATGCGATTTACGCATGCAATAACTACATATGTATACACTCTGTAAGTGAGTGTACACTGTAAGTTTTGAAATTCAACACTCACCATATCCATCGACGTCCCACGAAGTCCACCATCGTTTAGCCAGGTCCATTCATGTCCAGCCAAATCCTCTGTGTCCGACCAAGTCCGCCGACGAAGACTCTGTGACGTCCAGCTTTCGTCCTGTGTTGTCTCGTGTTCACCCTACTGAACTTTCTCAGTTCAGTTTACTTTATTTCACTCGCGACGTGATTATTATTTTAGTGATGTTTAAACGAATAATTTGGTACGATATTTTTAAAAAATTTTTTATTTATCTCAAAATGCATAATTCGTTAAGTATTCGGATGAAACCGCTGAATTAAAAAAAATTCTCAATAACAGTGTCACTAATTCAAAGAGAAAGAAAAATTAAAATCTTATTTATTTTGATGAAAAAAAGGGATCAAGTGAAAGTGACACTTGATTTCAACATTCCGATGAAAGTTGAATGTTGCACGTTCACGAATTCATGTGACTAAAGACGAAATCGGCAATCGTTAATTCGTTTAATAATTATCCCGACTGTATCGCGACATGTCTTCGACGGAGATCTCGCGACGGAAATACGCGTACGTAAAATCGAAAATTGAAAATCGTAGTTTGTAAGAATTAATTAACGTGAGTAGAATAATTACGACTACCGTAAAAATTTCAATCTCTCGCCGAAGGCAATCTGGCGCGACGTAATCGCGTCGAAAATAAAAATAAAAGAGATGAAAACCCGGAAATCGTGGCAATTGTCCAATTTATCAACGCGAATAAATTGCAATTGTATTTATATACGTAACTATCGCGAAATAGATGAGGAAACTAAATACCGCAGTGGTCGCGAAATTTACTAGTGCGAACGAAATAGCCGCGAGTTCTGCGTGTGACGCGTGCTTCCAGAGCGTCATTACTTCGCAATACATTATGCGAAGTTTCAGGGCCGAAATTCATTCGGCGTCGTTCGGACAATCGTGTCAGAAAATTGAACCGTCGAGCGTAGTAATAGTATAAGTCGGTAATAATGAGTCATTTACTTTAAAGACAACAATACTTCATTAATGCAACAAAAGACGTCGAGTCTTTATACTTATTTCTCCGAGATTCTTCTCTTTATAATCGTGCGACCGAGCACGCTATGTAAAAGCAGCTTTCATATAAAATTCAGTAACAATGGATCTTGCAATAATTGTGCACCTTTAGTTTAATTCATCAAAATATAATCAATTACTTGATATCGGGTATTTTCTCGCGAATTCTCTTTTTTATCACCCAAAAGTAGAAAAGCGCAACTCAGACCACTTCGCTCGATGGTTCGGAATTCACAAACATGCAAAAGCTAACATGCAATGTAAATCGCATTGATCTTTTTGGAAATACGGTAGCAAACCCACCACCGCAACCCAAAATCTTTATACTCATTTTTCTCTCTTCATGCTTTTCTCATCTAAATACCTGAAACTTGAAACTCAGGATCGGCCATATTCTGCTATGTCCGATTCTGGAACAGAAATGATATTTTGCTGATTAGATTCTCGAGTTCCGTGCTCAACGAATGAATGTAGGGTGCGAGTGTGGGTTAGCCCTTTGCCATCGCAATTCAAGTCGTTCAAACGACTATCCCCCAGCTTTCGATTGCAAAGGGTTAAGTAGAGGAATACAGAGAATTTGAACTGAACATACCTTCGAGCCGATCCTGCCCGGCCCGAACCGAATCCTCCGGTGCTGCATCTGCCATCCACCCGAAACCGCATTCTCCGCAACTGCATCTCTCACACGGTCTTAAGCTCCAAGGGATCTGAAACAAAAAAGTTATTTTCAAAATTAAGTACAGTGGTAGCAGAAGTACACGGTGTAGACAAATTGAGAATACGGATTATATATATATTTTTTAATGTAATAAAAATGAAGATGTACTAATTACATTTTATATCTTTCATTCACTCATTCATTCATTCATACATTTATTTACAGGAATTATCCTTTTAGTACACTAAATTAATATAAAAAGATAAAAGAAACAAACTAAAAAATACGTGAAGAACAGCAGAGTATAAGGGGAAGAGGGAGAGAAAGAAATAAAAAAATATAAAAGTAAAGAAAAATGCAAGAGTACATATATATGAAGAAAATAGAAGAAAAAATGTCCATGTGTTTAACTACACATTCAATAAGATTCCCTACATCTCCCTCTTTCCTCTTCAAACTCTACAACACAAAGAACTAAAGATAACTTCATGTTTACTCGCGTTCGCATCAAGATTTTTTCTGATGGCAAATACGTTACGTATATTGTGTGTACGTGTGTTGTTATGTCAAAGGGCATACGGTCTTTAGTGACCCTGCCTAGTCGTGCTTGAATGTGATACTGCACGACTCATTACATTATTCCAATTACATTGCATCATGTTATTTAATTTTACACGCTCACACGACATAAATTAAAGAACGATAGCGAATATCGCAAACGAAAACACATGAGCAAAGTAACAGCAACGTAAATATTTGCACATAAAACACATCAAAGACTGATCGTACCGATTATTACAAAGAGAAATAAATTACAAAAAGAAATAAAAGACACGGTAAGCTAATCTGCAAACTCACCTCTAGATTATTCTGCTCGGATTAAACAAGATTCCTCGGGGCTGCCTCCGACACACAATTGCGAATTCCGCCGGATCTGAAACAAAGTAATTTCTTAATTAAATACAGCAATGTATATAGAAAGATTACTCGGTGCGAAAGAAGTGAGAATTCCGATTATACCTTCCTCTTTTAAATTTAATAGAAATGGAAATATACTAATTACTCTTTGGATTTCGCATCGCTCCTACGCAATTATCCCGACGCGATGATCGCGGCGCAAATACTGTGCCTTCTTGTTTCTTTCTATTACACGACGTCTGATTAAGTCGACAAAAATGCAAACAAATGACGCCACCTAACCTGTACACGCGCTGTCGCAAAAACGTGCTACGTGATAGCGAGCATGTCGCGTACCTATGTGTGATGTGCTAAAGGTAGCGCAACGATTTTGTCTCGCCGTGCCATACTTCCACAACGCGACTACAGTACTACTGTGCACGATTAATTTCATTATTCATATCTTATTAACACGAATTTTGAATGAAAGATAGACAGCGACTCTGAATGCAATCCCGCGGGTAAAATAATAGTGGCGCAAGTGTATACGCGCAAGGTAATAACTCAATGGACGATCGCACTCGGCCATAAAGAAACACATAGTAAGAAAAAAGATATGAAAACCAAGTCTGTCAACTCATCCTCGAGATTACTATTCCACTCCCCCTCGCTCCCTCCTCGCCATCCAGATTCTAATGCTGCATTCGTAAGCCTCGGCGGATTTGAAACAAAAATAATTTCCCCGATTAAATACAAGGGGAGAGATGATATCAATCGGTCTCGACGCGCGGGAAATCGTCTATTGAGTTATTAGGTTGGGTTAGGTTATATTAGATTCCGACCGTATCTCTTTCTCAGGTTTGAGAGACGGAAATGCGCCTGTTACCTTTCATAGCCCATCGAATGCTGCACGCGGTAATCTTAGTATCGGTGAGGAACCTGCAAAGTACCACAATGTGTATTACGATCGCCTTGATCGATTCGAAAAACTTGGTAAGGAGCGCGACATGTCGCAACCCGTCCGTCACCAGGCTCGCCGCCGTAATGACGCGTGAGCGAGCGAGCGAGCGAGCGAGTGAGTGAGACAGCGAGTGAGCGAGTGAGATAGCGAGCTATGTCTGCACTGCTCGCGCGACCTCTCTCTCGCGTCAAGGTGAGTCGGTGCCGCGGCGACACGTAGCCCTAAGCGCTCCGCGACGCACCGGGATCTCGCGAATATTCAATCACTTCATATTCACGCGCTGATTATTATTTTATGATGTTTGATTGTACAATATGCGTTCCTATACAACGCTCACCGGGCTTCTACGCATAATACGGCTATTGATTAACAGCTAATGATTATAACTCGAATTTTGACAATTAACGATGCCGAATTACGCGCGCATGTTTATGACATGCGTTCACACGGAGCGCATTGAAAGCTTACTGTTATTAATTTAAACTTCGCATATGCCCCGTATCCTTTTACCGAGATTCTTTATTGCACGAATAAGGACAGTATATTATAGCGCTTGTTCGCTGAATGAAAAATTTCATATTGGCATTAGAAAGAAAGAAAAATTAAAACGTCAAATCGAAATAAGTCAAGTTTATCGCATTTTTCGCACAGAGAATAAAATAAAATGGATTGAATAAAATAACTAACTGGCCGATGCTTGACGCTATACGACGCATATTTCACCGCAAGACATTTAATTCGTAAAAGTACCTTGGACTGGCGGCAATCGGCACACGAGGAAGCATTTAATACGAAACGCTTGTGGTACCTGCCGTACGAGTTTCAATCCTGGAGACAAGTGTATACCACAGCGGTCCTCAATATTTAACTATGAATCGTGACGACCTCGTAAAGATAGAGGAAATAGTCCCGGATAAACAAGTCTCTCTCTCTCTCTCTCTCTCTCTCTCTCTCTCTCTCTCTCTCTCTCTCTTTTTCT